CGCGTCACGTGACAACACTGGGAAGAACCGAGTCGGCTATGCTGTGTGTTCTGATTTTGATACTATAGACTCTGGTAGTTTGCCCCACTACCACTCAGCACAAACCGCTGAGCTGGTCGCGCCCACCGGGGCTTGTGAGCTGGCAGCGGGCAAAACTGTTAACATATTATGTGATACGCGCTATGGTTTCTCTGTGGTGCACGACTGGGAAGCACTGTGGAAACACCGCAATTTTATGAAATCTGATGGTAAACCAATTCTTAATTCCACACAGGTTGAACGTCTGCTGAAAGCTGTAATGTTGCCCTTAGAGATCGCTGTATGCAAATGCCAGGCCCACACTAATGCCACTGATCCCATCTCTGCAGGGAATCGGCGCGCGGACAAGGCAGCGGCATACGCACCTCTACACACACACACACACACTACCTCACTCAAGACGTTGATATTTTCTACTCCAGCAGAGACGCTGCTGTGAGAGGGGAATGGGGCTCAACGACGGCATGGTGTGTGTGGCTGGGACCAGACAGCAAACCGTGCCTACCACGGCATTTCTTCAGACAGTTTGCAATTTTAGCACATGGTCGAGACCATGCCTCAAAAGGAGGGATGATGTGTGATTTAATCACACAAAATTGGTATACAAAGGGGTTTACGGCATTTGCACAGAGATTCAGCCAAACATGCGCTATATGCCCCGCGCACAACCCAGGTAAGTCCCCAAAAGTATCCAACAGGCTGCTCATCCTCCGCCCCTGCGCCCATTTCAACATGTCCAAAGGGACTTTGTTGAACTCACACCATGCCAAGGTAAGTAATACTGTCTGGGTCTGGCGGATCTCTGGTCCAAATGGACTGAAGTATTTGCAGGCATACACGCCACAAGCAACGCGGTGGTGAGTCACTTTGTAGCAAAAGTCATTGAGGAAGTGGGTGAATTTCTGGGCATTGATATACGTAAACACTGCAGTTACGCCCCCTGGTCCGGAGGCACGTGCGAGCGAGAGAATGGCACTCAAAGCTCTGCCGCTAGCCCCACGTTGGGCGCGGGACCCCCGAACAGAGATCTGCCAAGCACCTCTTTGTGTGATGACGACATGCTGTCCTATTGTAAGGTAATTAATGCACTTTGTCCTCTATTTCTGCCCAGGTCAGGAGCGCCCTGCCACAGGCTGCGCAGGCGGCTCTGCACAGGATCAAGCCAGGCGACTGAGTCCTGGTGAAGGAAACGAGACGACAACATTGGCGGTCCAAGCGCTGGCTCGGTCCATTCCTCGCCCTCCTGGTGACGGACACTGCCGTTAAGGTCGCGGAGAGGACAACTTGGATCCACGCCAACCACTGTCGTGCGGTGCTGCCACTGAGGGCCATAGACAAGGACACCGAGGGCGCGGACGGACCAGGCCCATCCGCGGCTCCCTACGCTGAATAGGTCTGCCGGCGTGCGACCACCATCGGTGAAGCAGGCCAACAACAACACCCAGAGAATCCCAGCGTTCCCGAGGCGACCCCCCTTTTGCCCAACTCCCCAGCCCCCGGATCCCAAGGCTTGGGAGCCATGAAGGCCCTGAGCGCTCTGCTCAGCTGCAGCAAGTATGCAGAGCTGCTGCCCATTCCAAAGATTTCTCCAGAGCTTGTTCCCTCTGGCCATAATGCAGATTGGAGCTCTGCTGGAGTGCCCCCTGGTGTCTCGTCTCCCGTGTGTCCGGAGGAGGTGGAGATGAGGGCTGCTCTACAGTTCCTGATGAGGCACATGGTGAAGCGTGCTGTCATGAGGTCTCCCATCAAACGAGCTTTGGGCCTGGCCGATCTGGAGCGTGCTCAAGCCATGGTCGCCACACCCCAAACCCCGAGCACTCTGCCCAACCGAGTGCTGAGGCCAAGGCTTCAACGCAAATAGAGTCTTGCCGCTCCAAGACCAAACATCGCCATGACCACTAACGCTCCACACACGCTCATAGGGAGCGGTGCCACTGACTGCGAGACGGCACTGCTCGTGAGTATTCCCGCGGAAAAGACTACCGAACGTAGACCGGCATGGGCCCTTGGACTGTTATGCTGGCCACACTGACACTACTTTCCGTGCTGACCGTGTTTATTATGTTAATATTGCCTTCTCTTATCGCTGTCCGGATCCATTGTGTTATTATAATGTGCTCTTTCTTTTATTGACAAGCATGTGTCTTTTCTTGTCCACTTTGGACAGCAATAATTTAAGTGTTTCAAGCTTGAAGGTGGTGTGATTACGATGCCTCTGGTATTTAACTGATTAATGCAAAAATGGTTTTGAATTATCAAAAGAGGGGAGTGTGGTGACAGTTTTTGGAGTAATTACATAAAACTAGCCGCAGCAAATACACGGACGTCAAAGGCCTTTTATCAATGCAGACGACCTTCTGACGCCATGCTGAGCTTTGTGAAGGTCCCTGCTGTCTGTCACACCCTTGTGTCTTTCCGTCTTGCATCTGTATGACCTGCATTTCCACCATTGTCTGTCTGTTCACACCCCATGCCACTGCCACCACAGGGGATGGCGCCGGCGCTTCCTGTGCGCCTCCTCACCGGTGGCCCCCTCCGCTCCGTTGTGGGCGTGACTATCTTTGGTGTGTGTCTTGTTTACAGGAAGCTGGGGGCTCTGGCCCCCAGAGCTGAGCATGCTGCCTTTGTGTGCATATGCTGACTCTCCGCACTGTGCGTTAACAATAAACTTACGCTTTTGATCAGACAAAGGACCTTTGAGTTTTCTCCTTCATGGGGTATATATTTCTATAACACCCCTCTCAAGGAGTTGGGTTCCAGAGCCCAAGCTGTGTGTGGAGGTGAGGCCGACTATCTCTAGTCGGTATTGCTCAACCTCCCCTACAAGCTGGGACGTGGAACGTCACCAGTGAGGTGACGTTCCACGTCCCAAGAGCCAGATGTTGTGTGTGCGGACTGGGTCGCTGAGGTCTCCGCCTTCGACTGCCGCCCAGTCCTCTCAGCACCGCGCCACCACGGACCCCTCTGCAGGTGGTGGGCCCACAGGAGGGACTGCCCACGTCATCCCTTCGGGCTGAGCCGTGCCGGGCCCCGTGGGCCAAGGCCCGGCCACCAGGCGCTCGCATACGAGCCCCGACCCCAGGCCTGGCTCCAGGGTGGGGCCCCGGCCTGCGCCATGCCGGGCGACGTCACTGGTTCAGCGCAGATGCCCTCGCAAAGCATCACAGACACAGGATTTTTGATGCTGTGGGCCAAGCAGTGGGGGCGATCGTCCTGGACCAAGAGCCCACTATCAAAGCCCCACCACCAATTGGAACGCCCCATTCATGGTCCAGGGCTGCTCTAGTTGGTGAGTGTTTAGATGTTGTTGTAAAGCTGAACGATTGTGCGATACCGTTTGTGCTGGACACAGGTTCCCAAGTAACTCTGCTGAGTCAAAGTTTATTCGAGAAACATTTGAAATGGGCGGGGGTATCTAGTGCAGAAGGGGTACCATGGTTAATCTTGCGTGCAGCAAATGGGCTAAAGATTCCCTACATTGGCTATGCTCTAGTGACCATTACAGTGGGGAATATTAGCGTGCCTGAAAAGGGCATTCTGGTGGTAGAAGATACCTGTTTGGGGCCAGAAAAGGGGATTCTTGGAATGAATGTGTGATAGTGGGGGGTTTTCGAGGGATTGACATTTAAAAAGGTAGATTAAAAACTGCCAGAAAAGGTGCCGAATAAAATAATTTATGGATTAAAAGAGCTGGGTGTTTCCAATAAAACCAGAAGTTAAAATGAATTAAAATCATGTTTAATACAATATAAAATAGATAAAATAGTAATTAAAAAAGGATTAAAACGATAAAATGATAAAATGATGGCGTCCAAAGGGCCTGGTCCTCTCGCCCGGCAGATGGACGAAGGGCAGCACTCCCACGGCATCAGGGGGGGTTCCGCGCGCGCAGCTGCTGGCGTCGTACCTGCAACAGAGAGGCAGAGGGCCAGCTCTCCCGCTCACACCCACCAGGAAGCCCAGGCCTGAGGCCGCTTGATGCAGCGGGAGCTAGAGCGGTTGAGCGGTACTCACGGACAGGGAGAGCTCCCCGCTCTCCCGCTGCATCCTCTGTCTTGTTCGCTGGTGGTGCTCGCTGCCTCCAGTCCCTCGCCTCTCTTCCCGGCCTGAACGCTGCGCCGCCTCACTCCCCTCCTACGGGGCGCCCGGGTCCAGCGGCGAGCTCCAGCCCTGTCGCACAGCACACACACGGGCCAGCCACGCACAGCACCCAGGATCCCCCCTTCAGCCCAAGGCTTCCATACACCACGTCTACACAAGAGCAAAACTCACCGGCAGGGCAGGGTCCAAATGCCCTGCCTCTGTGTAGTTTGTGGCGGGCTTACCATGAAAAGATGGGTCATCCTAGCTGTGAGAGGACACTGGCGGCCTTACGACGGCATTGTTACTGGCCTAGAATGACGGAGGATGTAAAAGAGTGGACAGAGCACTGCCCCCAGTGTACAGTATATATCACAAACCAGGACCCGACGGGAGGGCCGCCCTACTACCAATCGTCACCTCATACCCATTTGAGATTGTGGGTATAGATTACCTATCATTGGGACGAGATGGGGACCCGTACACGTATATTCTTGTTGTGACTGATTTATTTTCAAAATTTGCTGTTGCTGTCCCCACTAGAGACCAGGGAGCAGAGACCACAGCACGCGCGTTGTGCATACATTGGATCCACATTTTCGGATGTCCAGAGCGCATCCTCAGCGACCGAGGGGCTACATTCGAATCAGCGTTAATAGCCCAACTGTGTTAAACTCTACGGCTGCCAAAAAGACCGCACGACCGCTTTTCCACCCACAGGGGAATGGGGCCTGCGAGCGGTTTAACCAAACCCTCCTGGGGCTCTTGGGGTCCTTGGAAGAAACCCAAGAGGCACACTGGCATACCCACTTACCAGCACTTGTCCAGGCCTATAACAACACCCCCCATGGAACTACCGGTTTGATCCCCCACTACTTGGTATGGTGTGGGTGGTAGATTGGACCACAGGGATGGGGCCCACCGCTGACCGCCACTCTCTAGAAGGATGGGTTAAAGGACACCAAAAGGCACTCAACCATGCTTATGAAGTGGCAAAACAAAAGACTGAACTGAGACAAGAAAATGACCGTACGCTTTATGACCGGAGGGCAAAGCTTGCGCCCCTGTTGCCGGGGGAGCGTGTCCTCATCCGAAACTTCCGTCGCCGTGCAGGTGGGAAGCTGTCCCCCAGATGGAACCCGGAACTCTATGTCGTCGTGGCTCCGCTGCGCAAAGATCATCCGGTGTATGTCATATGCCCTGAAGGTAAAGACTCTCCTACACGCACCATTCACAGAAATAACTTGAGGCTATGTCCGTTAAATGTGTTGGAGCCCAGCCAGGAGTCTACAACCCCAGAAGCAGCCGAACCAAAGAGTGAAATGTGCCAGCCCCCTCCGACATGGTGGCTCCAGAACTGGTAACTCAGTCGTACCTCCCAGAATCAGCCAGGGCCCCAGTTCAAGCAAATATAAGGAGGCCAGAGCAGCTCTCCACCCGCACCGTACATGGTGTTGGCAAAGAACTGCTTCCCCCTCCTGAGGCGCCGGATGGTTTGCCAGAATCTCTTCGAGGCCGACCGATAGTCATGCTCCATGGACTCTCCGAACTCCTCCCAGTCCCGGGTTTTTGCCTCTGCAACAGCCCGGGCCGCGGCACGCTTGGCCTGCCGGTACTGGACAGCTGCCTCAGGAGTCCCTCGAACCATCATGGCTCGATAGGACTCCTTCTTCAGCCTGACAGCATCCCTTACTGCCGGTGTCCACCACCGGGTTGGGGGGTTGCCGCCGGGACCAGTACCAGAGACCTTGCAACCACAGCTATGAGGCGCCGCATTGGCGATTGAGGCAGAGAACATGGTCCACTCGGACTCCATGTCCCCCTCCTCCGCCGGGACCTGGGAGAAGCTCTCCCGGAGGTGTGAGTTGAAAGTCCGTCTGACAGGGGGCTCAGCAAGACGTTCCCAGCAGACCCTCACTATACGCTTGGGTCTGCCAGGTCTGACCGGCTTCCTCCCCTGCCAGCGGATCCAACTCACAACCAGGTGATGATCGGTTGACAGCTCCGCCCCTCTCTTTCCCCGAGTGTCCGAGACACGCGGTCGAAGGTCAGATGATACGACAACAAAGTCGATCATCGACCTCCGGCCTAGGGTGTCCTGGTGCCACGTGCACTGGTGGACACCCTTGTGCTCGAACATGGTGTTCGTGATGGACAAACTGTGACTGGCACAGAAGTCCAACAACTGAACACCGCTCGGGTTCAGATCAGGGGGGCCGTTCTTCCCGATCACCCCTCTCCAATTGTCACTGGTGTTTCCCACATGGGCGTTGAAGTCCCCCAGGAGAATAACGGAGTGCCGGGCGGTGCACCATCCAGTACCCCTCCCAAGGACTCCAAGAAGGCCGGGTACTCTGCACTGCTGTTAGGCCTGTAGTCCGTCACAACAATGAGAGACTTGTCCCCCACCTGGAGGCGGAGGGACGCGACCCTCTCATTCACCGGGGAGAACTCCAACACGTGGCGGCTGAGATGGGGGGCAATGAGAATGGCCACCCGAGCTCGCCGCCTCTCCCCGCGGGAAACACCAGAAAAGTGGAGCGTCCAACCCCTCTCAAGGAGTTGGGTTCCAGAGCCCAAGCTGTGTGTGGAGGTGAGGCCGACTATCTCTAGTCGGTATTGCTCAACCTCCCCTACAAGCTGGGACGTGGAACGTCACCAGTGAGGTGACGTTCCACGTCCCAAGAGCCAGATGTTGTGTGTGCGGACTGGGTCGCTGAGGTCTCCGCCTTCGACTGCCGCCCAGTCCTCTCAGCACCGCGCCACCACGGACCCCTCTGCAGGTGGTGGGCCCACAGGAGGGACTGCCCACGTCATCCCTTCGGGCTGAGCCGTGCCGGGCCCCGTGGGCTAAGGCCCGGCCACCAGGCGCTCGCATACGAGCCCCGACCCCAGGCCTGGCTCCAGGGTGGGGCCCCGGCCTGCGCCATGCCGGGCGACGTCACTGGTTCAGCGCAGATGCCCTCGCAAAGCATCACAGACACAGGATTTTTGATGCTGTGGGCCAAGCAGTGGGGGCGATCGTCCTGGACCAAGAGCCCACTATCAAAGCCCCACCACCAATTGGAACGCCCCATTCATGGTCCAGGGCTGCTCTAGTTGGTGAGTGTTTAGATGTTGTTGTAAAGCTGAACGATTGTGCGATACCGTTTGTGCTGGACACAGGTTCCCAAGTAACTCTGCTGAGTCAAAGTTTATTCGAGAAACATTTGAAATGGGCGGGGGTATCTAGTGCAGAAGGGGTACCATGGTTAATCTTGCGTGCAGCAAATGGGCTAAAGATTCCCTACATTGGCTATGCTCTAGTGACCATTACAGTGGGGAATATTAGCGTGCCTGAAAAGGGCATTCTGGTGGTAGAAGATACCTGTTTGGGGCCAGAAAAGGGGATTCTTGGAATGAATGTGTGATAGTGGGGGGTTTTCGAGGGATTGACATTTAAAAAGGTAGATTAAAAACTGCCAGAAAAGGTGCCGAATAAAATAATTTATGGATTAAAAGAGCTGGGTGTTTCCAATAAAACCAGAAGTTAAAATGAATTAAAATCATGTTTAATACAATATAAAATAGATAAAATAGTAATTAAAAAAGGATTAAAACGATAAAATGATAAAATGATGGCGTCCAAAGGGCCTGGTCCTCTCGCCCGGCAGATGGACGAAGGGCAGCACTCCCACGGCATCAGGGGGGGTTCCGCGCGCGCAGCTGCTGGCGTCGTACCTGCAACAGAGAGGCAGAGGGCCAGCTCTCCCGCTCACACCCACCAGGAAGCCCAGGCCTGAGGCCGCTTGATGCAGCGGGAGCTAGAGCGGTTGAGCGGTACTCACGGACAGGGAGAGCTCCCCGCTCTCCCGCTGCATCCTCTGTCTTGTTCGCTGGTGGTGCTCGCTGCCTCCAGTCCCTCGCCTCTCTTCCCGGCCTGAACGCTGCGCCGCCTCACTCCCCTCCTACGGGGCGCCCGGGTCCAGCGGCGAGCTCCAGCCCTGTCGCACAGCACACACACGGGCCAGCCACGCACAGCACCCAGGATCCCCCCTTCAGCCCAAGGCTTCCATACACCACGTCTACACAAGAGCAAAACTCACCGGCAGGGCAGGGTCCAAATGCCCTGCCTCTGTGTAGTTCTCGTCGTGGTGCGGGGGTCCAGAGCGTGGGTGCCATGGTGCTGGCCCGGTGCGTGCTGGCCTCTCCTTCCGGGCTCGCCTCCCCTCGCTGCGCGTCTGCTCCCCGGTGTCGCGTCTCCTGTCTGCGCGGTCCCAATCCCTTTTGCTGTGCTCCCCAGGTGATTATATTCACGGTGATTGCACCCGCAGGTGTCCTGGTCCATCCTCATCAGGGGTGGGGTGTGCGTTGTCGTGAGGGCAACCAATTAAACAGTCTAAAAGCATGCGCTTGAAATCACAGCAAAACAATAAAACTCACAACAGCAATTGAAAACCATAGCAGTAAAAACACTCAGCATGCATAAATAAAACAAAACGCACTTGTGTCCCATCACAAATGTAATTAAACCTGTTTGGTCTGCACTTACCCAGGAGAGCCACCACCTCCCTTGCACCTCCTCTGGCTCCCGCTCTCGGCTCCTGCTCTGGCTCCTGATCTGGCCACGCCCCATCCACACCATACTCTAGCCAACACCAGTGCTTGACCCTGGGGGATCTGAGATCATCTTCAGCTGCAATCGATCTCATCGTTGCAAGAGTCACTGCCGGGGTCAATGCGCCAAACAAATAAATCATTTTAATGTATTAATTGTGTCTTTGGTCTGTTCAGACTGAACTACTTACAATGTGAAACAGACTTATTACATGTAAAGTGAGAAATATCAAGCCTTTATATCTTATAATGTGAATAGGCTCATAGCTGTAAAAAACCATAAAGAAAAACTCTCGGAAATTTTAATATTTTGAAAATGGACGCTTGGTATATGTCACTTTGCATGTGATATTTTTCCAAGTTTCACCGGTAATGAGTTTGAAAATTGAGCATTTGGACAGAAGGGAAGGGTAAATGTTAGAGAGAGGATTGTTGATGAAGCTACAGTAAAAAAAACTTTTTGATGAGGTAACAATGTACCATCAAAAAAGACAATTTTGACTGGCAAAGGTCAAAAAATCCATCAAATGTATGCTAGTTTAATTTGTCAAAACTAGATATATATTTACTTAAAACAGGCTTGTCGAACTCAGGCCTGTGACCCACATCCAGCCCGCAAGACTTTTTTTAGTGGCCCTAGAAACAATTTTCAATTTTCATTTTTACGAGTAACTATTATTAGGAACTTCCAGCATTGATGGTAATGGGCTATGATGGCATGTTAAACTCCATCATAAAGGTTAATTTATCAGGAAAACAACTGTATTATTGACTCTGCTCTACAATGTTAACTAACATGTAATTAGAAGATTAGTTGGGCCAACTTTTTTATGATTAATGTTTTTATATTTAACTATGAAATGTCAATTTCATAACTTTTTATATTTGGCTCAGCTGTGATTGAATCCAAACCTACAAGAAAATTAAGTTCAAACTCATGTGCACAAATATATACATATAGTAAATCACTTTTAGGGTTTGATTTAGGCCTATACAAGAATTGAATTGAAAGTAAAAACAAATGTAATGGCCTGAATGGCTGTGCATATGAGAGTTAATTAAGATGGTTACATTAGTGGTGTATTAGCTATTATCATACTGCACTGGTTGTTAGCAGAGACCAGGTGACCTACATAAGTCCTGGGTTAGTCTGGCTTCTGACCTGCTTTTGTTTGTCGAGTTATTTCTGGTCTTGTTGAGGTTTAGACGTAGCATGTAATTCTCCCTAGATTAGTCAGGACGATTTGAAAACTCTTATACATTTAAATTTGTTACTGCTTTATCTCTACACAATGAAAAGAGGAAGTGGATATTTAAATACTTGTCACATATGTGTCACATTCACATATATGAATATTTGTCTCTGAGCACAACCCCAGCCTTTGCACACACACGGGTGAATCAGAGTGGATTTCCACAGCAACAGCCACAGCCACACCTAAAGAGACATAGAACCTTGCATGGCTCTTTATACGTATGCAATAGTTTTAATAGTTCTTTCTATGAAGCTGCGAAGTGGGTAGATCTTCCACATTTGAAAGTAAAATTCTTGGCTGATTGGCAATCTATACCATGTGCAGTTGCTTTCAGCCCAAAAAGCACAACTGAAACTTTAAATTGTTGAAATCACATGTTTCCCAGCTAAACAGGAAGTGTAATGACAAAACTGTAATATCCAGGCAAAACAAAGTTCGATGAATACAAGTAAAAAACAGGACCCACCACCAGAAACGCTTTTTAAAAGTAAGTGATTTGTAAGGTTTTACAA